GGTGAATCCTCTCACCCTCCGCATCTCTGGCCTGTATCCCAGTTCTGTATGAATAAATAAATAAATCTTTAAAAAAATAATAATAAAATAAAATAAGGTCCCTAAAATTGAAGCTTATTTGACTCAGTCCCTTTTAAAATGTCCTCTGGATGACAATTAGTTAAACTCATCCAGAGTTTTGAGTATACCTAATTCAAGTACTTTTAAGATCTATAATTAAACTTTAACCCAGCTAAGTATTATACCATAAACACTAGAATAGAACGTAGGGAGGAAAAGCACCTTTTCACTAAAGAAAATACAATGCTTTATAGCACAGATGAGATTGAAATGAGGGAAACCACCAATTCCCCTTCATATTATGGATGGAAGTTAAGTTACAAATGCATTAGAACAGATAGTATAATAGTGATTCACTTCACTTTCTTCTGACTTCCCTCTTTACAGATTACATATGAGATCATATTTTGGTCATCAGCACAACCATTCCCCTCATTCTTCCTCTTCCAATCTTCAGGAAATTCTGAGTTCCTAGTATCATAACTAACAAATATTTCTAACTCTTAAGAGAATCTAAATATAAAAAAGGGCTCTTCAGAAGTCAAATATACAGAAATAACACAAAATTTTTTTTTACAAAAAGAAGTTCCTAGGAAATAAATTAATTACTCCACATACATATTAAAATAAAAAATTTCTCAACGTTTTGTTAAAATTATCAGTATTGAGACATACAATATAAGTCAATACTTCTTTGAAAAGGCCACACCAGCACACTTTTATGAAAATAATTGACATTAAATGATGACATTGTAAAGCTATAAGAAAATATTTTACAACACTAATACTGACATCACGCTCTTTTTGGTTGGATTATAAAGAACATGAAAAATACAACTTCTTGTTACTTGCAGAGTTGCTGTCTTAAATAGTTTTTTCAAATTCTCCATTTTTATGTTCATATCATCACTGTAACAAATATTACTAGGTTTTTTAAGTGTTTGTAGTTAAAGATAATACAGCAAATAGTGTCTAAAATAAGATGACAACTTGCCAGAGAGAACCAAGAAACCCATTTAAAAAAGCAATTTTTAATATAATGCAAAGGTAGAATATACCTACCTCGACAATATTCCATTAAGATAAGTACTTCCCATACATTGTCACTGATCGAATTAACAGCACAATCCAAATAGCTCACAATATTTTTGTGACCAGAAAGTTCTTTCTGCAAGAAAAAAAATTTAACTAGAAAATACACATTTTAAAGCTCTCTCATTAGCCATGAAGCTTTGATTACTGCAGTTCAATTTCAAAAAAGTAAAAATAAGCATGAGATTAAAATCTGACATTTTTCAAAAAGGTTTCTACAATGTCAGTGGAAAGTATGCAACTGTCATTTTCAAACCAGAAAATATTCAGTGAATATTTTTTTTTTTTAAGATTTTATTTTATTTGTGCATACAGAACTGTGATACAGGCCAGAGATGTGGAGGGTGAGAGAATTCACCAGAGACAGAGTGGCGTGCAGAACAGGCAGATCAACGAAATACACTGCTGAGGGGAGCAGCGGGCGGGTCAGGAGAGGTCTGCCACGCCATGTGGTCACCTCCGGGGCAGGCGGGAATCGGAACTCATGCGGAAGCGGCCTCAGACTCTCAGTGCTGTGCTTTAACCCGCTGCGCCACCAGGGAGGGCCTCAGTGAATATTTTTTAATAAAATCAGGAAGAAAGTAAGTTCATTGATACATAAGTCTGTCTCCAAGAGTGATTGTAAAAGAAAATCTTTTGGAAAACCTGCACTCCTATGTCTACTACAATGCTGTTTACAACAGCTATGATATGGAAACAACCTAAATGTCCCAAAACAGATGAACAGATCAAGAAGATGTGGTATATGAGCATAATGCAATACTACTCAGCAAAAAGATAAACCCCGGTCATTTATGGAAACATGATTTGAACTGGAAGGAACGAGGCTAAGCAAAGTAAGTCAGAAGGTAAAAATGCGTTTCACATACATGTGGAATACAGAAAAAGAAAAGAGAAAGTTTATAAGCTGACCACAGACCTGAGGCATAGAGCAAAAAAGGGGAAAGGAAAGGAAAAAACACAAGCCACTATAGAGCGATCACAAATGCTAAGGTTGTGTAAGAACTACAGGGACGACACCTAAGGGGAGAAATCAAACACTGTCTAAAAATTAACAAACATATAAGAAAATAAATAGATTTAATTTAAAGGTAAAAACAAATAAAAGCTGGTCCTTTGGGACACAAGAATAAAATATTGGACCTTTTGTATTTACTTTCATTTAAAAAATATAAACTAACAATACTCTCATTTGTTTCTCCAGCAACTTAATACATTTATTTATATCTAGTTAGGTGGATTTATGACTGTATGGAACAACCAGGTTACTAAAAAGAAGTTCTCAAAGAAGCTAAAAAGTAAAGGTAATTCTAAACAGCAAAATTAACACTTTGCTCCTAGTACATGAGTCATCAGCATAAAATGACATTAAAAATAATAATGGTCTAATTAAGTCTACAGAAATTAAAGAACGATTATTAAGAATACTACATAAAACAAATTTACTAGTAAACTTAATGTAATATAAACACATGTTGATTTACAAGGATGCATACCTGAAACAGTATTATAATGCACTGTCACTTCAATAAAAAAAAAAGGTGTACTTTAATTTTTGAAAATACACACCTACCAGTATTAATAAACCCTGCTTTAGCTGTGAACTATAATTTGATATATGGCTAATGATGACTAACAGGTAAATAATTTATAAATATTCATAATAGGAGATGGGTCACCTCACCAAAAAAAAAAAAAAAAGATGGAAGACCACTGCTCTAATGACCTAGTCATCCCCAAAATTTCTTTCTCTAAAGCAATGAATATGAGTGTTCCTCAAACAAAAATTTTAAATAATGTATACTAGCACTTTATAAACAGTAGATGAGAACAAAGAGTAAGACAACAAAGAAAAAGGAAGAACTGAGGAGGAGAGAGAGAGAAGAGGCAAGGGGGCAAAGTCAAATGAGAAGCCAACCAGAGCACTAAGAATAATCAGTCATAGAAAAAGGACAAAATTGTGTAATTTACTATAACTGTTGATCTGTAACAGGTACAGTTTTCATGGACTCCGTTCCCACTCCAGATACTGGAACTACTGATCCCATCAATACCAAGGAGAAGCACGCTGGGACGTGAGGGCGGTGCTGAGCACCCAGGTTGGGATAAAAACGGATTATGTGGGCTCTGAGAGTCTCCTGGCCTGGTGGTTCACGGCTGATCCTTTGGCTCTCCATTGGTTTTAAGCATGCCGGTGGAGTCCAAGTCAGCAGAACTGGTAGGACATTCTAGTTTAACTTGTATTTCTCTCCCTCTTTCCCTAGGTTGTCCCTTTACCTTTCTCCTTGTAAATAAATCCATTATTGAACCTTTTTGTGTGTGTCCATAATACAAATGAATCTTAAGAGCATGGTTGAGGACCCACAGACAGGCAACCCAATTCACATTGGGGTGCCCTGTAACAGATTTATGTAACAGAATAATGAAATTTTCTGTAATTATCTACTGTCTGTTAGAAGTATTTTTTGGGCCCTCCCTGGTGGCGCAGCGGGATAAAGCATAGCACTAAGAAGCAAAAGCCACTCCGGGGCTGAGTTTGAGGATCAAGGAAACAAAGGGTAACCTATTGGGATACCAATGAGATCACCAGTGGAATTTTAGTAAAAACATTATAAGCACAAAGAGGCTGTATAAAAATATCTAATGAAATATTTTAAGTTTATATTTTAATTAAATATAAACAGTGTTCTACTCCAGAATTCTTTACACTGACATGTTAACATTCAAAAGAGAAGAAAAGTAAGCAGCTTCACTGAAAAGCAAAAGTTAAAAGAATTTATCACTACCAAGCCACACTCACAGGGGTTATTATAAAGCAATATAAGAATATAAGAATTCAGACAATAGAGACACCTAAATCATTTAACATAGAAGAGGAAAGTAACAATATGGCCCATCAGAATGAGTCACATAATGAGCCATTATGTATGAACCACAGCAGAAACCTTAAATAAAAAATAATGAAAGTGACACATAAGACAATGAAAATAGAGTAAAAACAAAACATAAAAGACCTCAAAAAAAAAAAGACAAGTCAAACAACAACAACAAAAGAACACTTATGTCTTAATGATCACCTTTCATGTAAGTAAGAAAAAAGTCCCAAATTCACCAATCAAAAAATGTACAGTGGATTTCAATTAAAAGACCAGCTCAGCTGTCTGCTGTCTTTAAGCAGACCCATCTTTACCAACAAAGACAAGCATACAATGACTGAAGTTATGCAAACAAATGATAATCACCACCACCCCACCCCCAAAAATCAGAACAGCTACACTATAATACCATCAGATACAACAGACTTCCAATTAAAATAAGCAATCAAAAGTAGAGATTGTCGGGGACAGTCCTGATCATGGGTTGTTGGGGGGCAGAACAGGCAGGATCTTAAGGTGGGAGCGGCATTGGAGAGAGGAGATTCCTAAAAGGGGGGAAAAGAGGAGCGGGCGCAGGAAAAACATGGGAATAGGAGTTGGGTACTAGTCTTCCTGTACTGCTGTCAGCAGAAGTTTATTTTATGCATTTCAAGAGCAAGCAATTAGCATATAAATTGGGCTGAGATCACAATCATCTTTTCTGAGAGCAGTTTGGAGTCTACTGACCTTCAGCTAAGCTTATAACATTATTCTTAAAATCGACCTATTAAAATTAAGATAGGTACGTAAGTTCATAAAATTTAAACCTAACATTATTAGATTTATCATAGTGATGAATGGCTAAAATAAAGTCCCTTTAAACCTTAAGTGCCACTCTATGACCTTCATTCTCCTTGAGACATCTTAGAGGGTAAAGTCGAGGTGTAGGGTGGAGGCTGGGTGGCGATATGAAGAAGGATGGAAGGATAAAGTAAGGTGGTGGGCTAGGGTGGAGTAATTCCCTTGTAACATTCCTTAAAAACTGAACAGAAGATTTAGGTGTAGTTCCTTATTTGAAGACTAAACAACAGAAAATTTAAGTAGTTCTTTAGAAACGGAATAGAAGGCTTCTGTGAGATAGTAGATGAGATATGGGTTCTCATCTGGGCAGCAAAAGAATTCTGATTTTTTTTTTTTTTTTTTTTAAAGATTTACAGGCCAGAGGCTCAGGGACGGTGAGAGGCTTCACCAGAGAGCAGAGTTGGGAGCAGAACAGGCAGATCGATGAAATACACTGCTGAGGGGAGCAGCGGGCGGGTCAGGAGAGGTCTGCCACGCCATGTGGTCACCTCCGGGGCAGGCGGGAATCGAACTCATGCAAAAGTGGCTTTAGCTTCTCAGTGCTGTGCTTTAACCCGTCGAGCCACCAGGGAGGGCCAAATTCTGATTTATTTTAACTTGCTTGAATACAGCCTTGTCTTACAATACTGATTCTGCTATAACTGTTTTTATTAATCAGCCAGTTGTAATAGTTTTGATTTCAAAAGAACTTTCCCATCCTGGGGATGCGCTTGCTCACCTGAGCCAGGCAACCACCTTATGAGGCTAAGGCAGACCAGTAGAAAACTGATGGTTGCTTGGAGTATTTTGATGATTATACAAAAAAAGGGCAGTCATAACAGGAACTAGCGTGGAAATTAGGATTTTTTTCAGAGCATTTCCCCTCCATTCATACTGTGTCTGATGACAGAATTTGCATAGCTTGTGTCAAGAGAGGGACACTATCTTATAATTAAACGTATAATTATAACAAGAAATAACACTTAAAAATACGTGCATCAAAGGATGCCCATGAAAGATACATAAGACAATAACAAAATTACAAAAAGAGAGTGACAGTAACATAGTAACACCATAAGATTTTACGAACCCACCTAAAACAAGGGACAGCTCAAAAAGACATAAGACAAATAAGTAAAAAACAGCCTAAACGAGGAGTTGATCAACTTAATGTAATAGACATCTACAGAATATTCCACCCAAAAACTACTGCATAAACACATTTAAATATATAGGGAACATTTTTGAGAATAAACTAATCAATAAAACTATACAGATCAAAACTATATAAAAACTATATATATCTCTTACTATAATGCAAAAAAAAACTAGAAATACTAGTTATATATATATATATAGTAATATATCTCTTACTATAATGCAAAAAAAAACTAGAAATAGACTAGCTTTTAATGCTATAGGATAAAGGAAGAAATTGAAACAAAAAAAAATACAAATGGTACAAACTACCAGAATTTACAGTATCTAGCAAAAGAAAAGGAGATAACTACAACACAGTCCTACAGTAAGAAGCAAGAAAAGTCTCAAATAAGCAACTTAATACTACACATAAAACAAATTTTAAAAAGGAGCAACAAACCAGAACTAGCTAGCAGAACACTGAAAATGGGGGCAGAAAAACTAACACAGAAATAAAAGGCTATATTAACAGAAATTAAGAGTTGGCTATAAAAAAGGTAAAAAAGCCTCTATCTCAGTTAAAAAAGAAGACAGGAATATTAATAAACAGAGTCACAAATGAAAAGGGGAAAATTACCACAGGTAAAGTAGAATTACAAAGAATTATAAAAGATTACTTTGTAAAACTATGTAAAAGCAACCTGTAGAAAATAAGAAGTACCACTTTACCTGATTTCAAACTTTACCATAAAGCAACAATCGACACAAAAATACATAAATTAACAGAAGACCTGAAAGCCCAGAAATAAATATACATATATGTCAGTACATAGTCTATTATAAAGCAGTTATGATTTTAACAGAGAAAGAACAGTCACTTTAAAATAGTGGAAAACTGGAAAACCACATATAATAAAAAAGGGTGAAATTGAATCACTTTACCTCCATACACAAAAATAAACTCCAAATGGATTAAAGACACACATATGTCTTGCAACAAATATCCATCAACAGATATGCACAGATGACTGGTTAGCGAAGATGTGGTATATCCACATTATGGTATACTATTCAGTCTTAAGATAAGATGAAATGAATCCATTTTCAACAAAATGGAGGGACTCTGAGAGAATTATATGTAGTAAAGTAAGTTGGGATGATAAAAATACTTAACATTTCCACAGCAGACAATTCAATAACAAAATACTTTCAAAAAAACAGTGGACATCAATAGTATTGTGAGAGCTCTGAAGTTAAGAGGGAAATGAAGTAGGGAGAGGAAAAAAATAACTGATTATGTCTGAGGGTAAATATAAATAAAAATGAAAATCAAAACTAATTGTTGTTTGTAAACACATGTACTGATTGTATAATATGTATGAGAGGCCCTCCCTGGTGGCAAGACCAGATAAAGTGCAGCATTGCAAGTAAGTTGCAGCCTCTTGGGTGTGAGTTCCATCCCTGCGCAGGTGACCCACATGGTGCGGCAGACTGACAGACCTCACCTGACCTGACCTGCCCGCTGCTCTCCTCACCAGTGTACTTCCTCGATCTGCCTGATCTGCCTACTCTATCTCTCTGGTGGGTCCTCCCACTGCCCTTGCACCTCTGGCCTGCACTCCTGTTCTTGTATGTATAAATAATTATTTTTTTTAAAGTCCTTAAGAATGGTAAATACCAAATTCTGCTCAGGGGTTTCTTTTTGGATGGAAACTACATATAGGAATATATCCACCTGTATATACTGAATATACAGGTGGATTCAACTGTATCTAGAAAACTTTGAGATTTTTAAACTGGGTAATGGATAAACTGGCATTCATCATGTTAATTCTCTAAATTTTTCTACTCAAAATGTACCATAATAAAAATGTATTTTAACAAAGAAAAAAGTAACAAGAGTAGCTTCCCCACTAAAACTACAGTAAAGAAGGGAAAAGAGAGATTCTTGCTATATTTAACTCTATCTACAGCTATAAGAAATGCACAGATTTTCTTCCAAGTTAAATTTAATGATCTTCAAAAATTTCCCAGTAAAAAAAGCTGGTGAATATTATTGTGCAAAATCAAAAGAAAATGCCCAAAAAAGTTAGAGAAATTACTTCACTTACCATAATTGTAATTTCCCTTTTACAAATGTTGAGGTCTGGCATGTTATTGACATACATTCGCTTTAATGCATGGCGGACTCCACCATGAGTACGCACCAGGAAAACCGTGGAAAATCCACCTAGAAGAAAAAGTACCAATTAATTTAAATGAATCAGAAACTACTACCACAATCATGTAATATCACTGAGGAGCTTAATCTCAAAGGAAAATGAAATGACTGCAACTAAGCCAAAAATAAGAATAGTAAGCAACGAATCTATAAGATTAAAAGTCAAAACACGGGCTTACTAATGCCAACCATGAAGTAGCACACATAGGATAACATGTTTCTTAAATGAATATGATTATTTTTTAAAGGTTAAAACTGTAATTTTCATTTTGCATGGGAATACTTACTATCTAATATGTGGAAAATGTCAAAGCATATTATTATCATTTGACATACACTAGTGATTGCCTACTCACCAGCTTCCCCTCTTCTGTGTTAACAAATTTCCCTTTTACAAATGTTGTTATTCAATAGGAGACATCCATGGGTAAGTAAATGTTTCTCCACTTCCAGAGAAAGAACCAAGTTTGATGATAAATCTAACAACAACCCTCATTATCTGATTTTGAATTGGACATATAACCAATTTTCACTAAAGAAGTATCAGGGGAAATCTACTAAAGTTTGCAGAGAAAGATTTTCCATCCAGAAAGAGAGAGACTTGTGAAGAAAGCTTTGCTCTTCATTTCTGCCCTTTAGATTGTGTTGGGTAAGAATATGTTTAGACAGGTGGCAACTATGAGTGGCAATAATGGAGAAAATAATCAAAAAAAAAAAAAATGACCCAGGACACTCACATAGTTACGCTACTGACATAAACAAATCTGGAACAATTTCATTCCAGATCTTAGATAAGATGATAAATGTCCTCATTATTTACAGCAGTTTTTTAGACTGTCTCTTACCTGTACCTAAAATAACTACCTGAAATACACTGCTAGGTATTCTTTTTTTTTTTTTTTAAGATTTATTTATTTGTTCATACAGAACTGGGGTACAGGCCAGAGGCTCAG